TAGTCTGCAACAGCAACTTCTTTTAGCCATGCCATTTTAGTTCCTTGGTTCTGTGATGGAGATGACATTTTCAAAAAGATTAGGAATACCGACACTATAAATTTTGGTTAACAATTAAAAAGTTTATTTTGATGTTACATTATCTATTTATTACAATCAATAATATAATTTTATATAAATTTATTTTTAAATATTTAACTTCCAAACAGAATATATAATAAAACATCCTGAACCTGGCCTTTCGGACCAAGTGACTCTTGCCACGTTTATAAGGTTCATATCCTCCTTCCTCAGGGTAACTGTTCGAGCCGACCCCATGACAAAAATGTTCAAAAAAAAAAACACACATCCTGTACCATGCACATAACTTAAATACAGCATTCTGAAAAATTACACCATATTATTTTATTTAAATGAATTTTTGTGTTTTACTTTAATTTTTAAGAAAATGAAGATAAAAAGAAATTAAAATGAGTAACGAAATTCCTGTGTGCTTATATCCCTCTGTCATATCTAACCACCTTAAGTACTTGGTGCTATAATTGTTTATTAATTCAATTTACGAATTGTGATGAAAACAAGTTTTAGTCAATGAAAAGTGGATGAGACGAAAGCAAAAAGCATCAAAAGACCAACAAAGATTTGTTTATATAATTTTTTTATACAATCATATATGTTTATTAATAAATTTTTTTTACCCAAATAAAATTTATAATATTATATATATTTATTAAATAATATATAAAAATTATATAAAAATCATTGCCTATAAATTTAAAGAGCAGCACTAAATTCTCAATAAAACGGTTGGTTTTCTTCCTCTCCATACCTTAACTCCTCGGGCTTTCCAGATGGAATCGGAACGATTTGTGGGCCGTAAATGAATCCAAAGCTGAGATTAGAAAAATAAATAAACAAGAGCCTTTGATCATGGCCGAGAAAAAAAAGAGACGAAAGAAAAAGCGGAAAAGTTAAAAGAGGATCTTTTATAGGACGGACTAGGAAAATGGAGAGAACAGTGGAGAGAAAAAAAAAAAAGTTAACTATCCGTTGTGGGGGGTGGAGGGGGAGGGCGGCAAAGCCCCTATTTACACCTTTCATTTATTTATTTTTGGCAATCAACACCTTTTAAATATTTTTTTTCTCGGTCAACACTTTTCACTTTTCAAAATTTGTGAAAAATTTAATATTTAAACAGATCATCACGTCATCATTAATAACCACTAAAAAATACAATACGTGGCACCCAAACAGTGACATGGACATTATGTGGCCTTAATAATCCAATGTGAACTATTTTTTGATGATGTGGCATAATTTTAATTAATTTTAATTTTTCCTCTCCCTCTGCATCGTCTTCCTCCTAGGTTCTCGTGGAACCTAGTCACTGGGTTCAGTTGGGTTTGTGGAACCTCGATTCTAGGTTCCGCAAGGAACCCGGTCATTGGGTTCATGGAACCCTGATTATGGGTTCCACAAGGAAACTAGTCGTTGAGTTCCATGAACCCAGATCTAAGTTCCTCATGGAACTTGGATTCTGGGTTTCAACCCTCTTTTTTTTTTTTCTTTTTTTTTTTATTTTTTTATTTTGAATGTATCTATCTTAGTTCCCTATTTTCTTGTTGGAAAGGTGAGATCTTTAGCTTAGAGATTGTTTCTGGACAAGTTACCAATTTGAGTTCAAGTGGGATTAACATGGATGGCAATAATGGTTTCTTCGTTTTTTGTGGGACAGTGGTGGAAAATGCAGATCATATTTTTGTGCAGTATTCATTTACTTATAATTGTGTGGATGAAGATCTTAGCTTAGTGGGGCATTCATGTGAAACTGGGTTCCACGAGGAACCAAAACCTGGGTTCACGGAATCCAGGAGGATGATGAAGAGGATGGTGAAGATGATGCCGAGGGAGAGGAGAAATGAGAAACTGTATATTACCATAGCCAGCAAATACAATGCCAACTCAACCTTCATTTTTAAAAGAAAGATGGATTATATTACCAAACCCAGGGAGAACCCAGGAGGAAGATGATGCCGAGGGAGAGGAGAAATTAAAATTAATTAAAATTATGCCACATCATCAAAAAATAGTCCACATTGGATTATTAACGCCACGTAACATCCATGTCACTGTTTAGGTGTCACTATTGTACTTTTTAATGATCATTAATGATAACGTGATGGTCCGTTAAAATATTAGACTTTTCACAGGTTTTGAAAAGTGAAAAGTGTTGACCGGAAAGAAAATATTTAGAAGGTAATGACAATAGAAAAAAAATAAATAAAGGGTACAAATATGGGCTTTGGCCATTGTGGGAGGGTGGTTTACAACTATAGCGATCAAAAGTGTTAGGTTATCAATTTTTAATTTTTTTTCTTAAATTATGTTTTAAAATATTTATTAATTAATTAATTTTAATTTATTATTTAACAAATAATAATTATTTTATAAATTAATAATTAATAATTATAATTAATAATTATTTTTATCAATAAAATAAAATAAAATATGTTGGGATTATGCCCAACACCCATTTCGAGCCACATGCAGCAGGCCCAGCTATACACCCACAGGTTCAAGATGAGGAGACATGCTCACGTGGATAGTAACACGTGGACCAATTCGATGAACACATGTCTGAACTCATGTCAGCATATGGGGCTATAAATACCCCCAACTACCTCCATGCAAGGTATTAACTCTTCTAGTCTCTCTGCAATTACTCTTTGAGAGCATCTTTTTTTGGAATATCAAGTATTGCTGACTTGAGCGTCGGAGTGTTTCCCTCAAGGAAACACCCTTAGGGAATTTCAGGTATGGAAGCAGCTGAAGACTTCAACAGTGTTGGATCGTGAAGCTGCCCGAACAAAATAAATATTTTTAAAAATTATGTTTTTTATTTATTGTTAATCTTAACGTTTTACTTAGCGAATATAACACTTCCTTCAATAGCCAGCCCGGTTATTCCTACGCGGAAAATGTTGGGCCACACAAAAGTCAAGTTTTTTAGTTAAAAAATACTCATTTATCTATTTCTTTACCAGACCCAAACTCCATGTGTTTTTAGACTTTTTTTTAGGCCGAACTCACCTTTATCATTTTCCCTTTTTATTCATGTGCTCATTTTTATATTCTAAAAAATGGATTGCTAACTTTATAAATTTTCTTAACATGCACCAATATATGGTATTTGGGTTAAGATTGAACAAGTTTTTTGATAAGAAATTTGATAGGTTTGACTTGGATTTGAATTAGGGGTTTGCTTAGAATTGAGTTATGGTCTTATGGGTCAAGATTTGAACAAGTTTTTTTAGGAGAAATTTGACAATTTTGAACCAAAAACCTTAAAAATTTGGACTTAAATTTGAGTTGTGAATTTCGCATAAACTTGGGTTTTTGGTACAATATTTTGGGGTCCTTATTGTCAATCAAGAAAATGTTATGGCTCATCCAATATTTTTTTCTCTTAAACAATTAATTATGATATTTAGATATTTTAATCTATTAACTCATTTTAGTTTGTTAATTAATGAATATAAGTTATTCCCTCAATTTAGTATATAATTATAGTTGTCAATTATTTTTAATAATTTTTATCATAAATTGTACAGGAACCATTTTTTATTTCTTAGTTCACTTAACTTGGATATCTTGTAATTTGAATTCAAAATTTTTTATTTTTAACAAAAAAATTACTACTAAATTATTTCAGACAT